TAAATGCTTTTTGCCGTTATGTTTTTCTGGTAAAACTACCTTAGCAATATTTTTCAAAAAACTTAGGAGCCTTATTGATTGATTTGAATGGCTATTGTTGATCACATGATTCATAAGCACTTTTTTTCACTGGTCCGTTGTATCCTTTCCGTGTATTCATTTCCATTCTACTTATTCAATACGACATAAATCAAGCTAATGTTTCGAAAAATTATAGACCTGGTGTCTGCAATAGACCTCTTGAAATCTAAGAAATGCGTGTGATTTTCTTTACTGACTGTTATTTTCTACTGAAAAAATTTGTTTGGATCAGGTTTCTTAATTGATAACTTCTCCGAATTATTAAAGTCGAATTTTAAAACTCGTGGTTTTGAAGCCCGAACTTCTGTTTTTTAATTCAGTTTTGTTTACATCTCTTTCTAAAATTATTTAGTAGGAATTTTTTAATGTTTATTAAGAAGCTATGAATATACCCGATTTTTTTACCTGATGTCTTTTTAAAACTTTTTATGCTACTTGCTTTACTTAAATTTACTTGTTGTTGCTGAGCCATCATATTTTATTACTCTAAACTTTTATGAACTACCTCTTTTATCTTCATGTATGAATTCCACATGTATAAATTTCATCAAAATATCGAATTTTAATTATTTATGAAGTTTTTTTCAGACATATCTGAAGCTTACAATTTTTTCCCTAAAGGTTATGGCGTCATGACGTCGCTTCAAAGTGCGACCAAAAGTTTAATGTTTTTTTTTTTTTTTAAGCAGGAGCTAATAAAGGCTTGAAATATTAGTTATGTGGAGACCTTATTTGTATTTTGAGTTTCAGGTTAACTATTGTAGCATATGACCAAGAAAGTTCAAGGCTAAATTTTAATTAGGCTTAATGCTCTTACTCTTGCTATTCAGTATTTCAGATTTCGAGACAGGATGGGTGATTTTGTTATAAATAAATTCGAAGAAGAGCTTGCCAAATATAAACGCTTTGAAAAGGGTTAGTATTCTCGTCAATTTCTTTTTATTTTGTTATTAGAACTCGGTTATTCTGATTTTCCAATCAAAGTTTAATTGAATACTTCTATAATTTTTCTTGTCGAAAATTGAAACATCTGATGGATTCTGATAAATAAAATGGAATTTAAAGTGTGGGGTTTACCACCATATCCTGCGTCGACGTGAGAAATCCCCCTTTGCATAAGTGATGCGTTCAACGAAAAAAATACTTTTGAAAAAACGGACCGGTTTGCGGAAGTTAATGAGTCTTTATGTTAGTATATCTGTTGCTATTAAATTGTTTGGATTATAGTAGTTTATTCCACTTTGATTAGCATTATTTATTTTTATGATATATGTTTACAGATCGCGAAAAAAATATTCGTAATCGACAAAAACTTGAGGGACAGTTAACGGAAAATAAACTTGTGAAAACTGTAACTTTTCTTTTGTTTCTTTATTTTCTTTTAGCTTCCAGTCAGCTAGCTTTAGTTTTTTATAAGTTTGTGGTGTATTCATCAGTAACATATCTAATATGTGGATTAAATGATGATTACATCGTTATATCTTTTTCGGAGAATGATAGAGGGATGGAAGGTCAGTGTGATATTTTGCAATTTTTGTTTTAATTGGCTTAATTCTTCCTTTTTTATAGAGCTTTGCCATGTTTATGCTTCATATATCGGTTTATGTTTTCCTTATCTAATTGTTTCGTTTTTATAAATGTTAGGAAAAGGCCATAAATAATATAGAATCAAAAGGTTTGTTGAGAGATTTTATGGGATTAAAAGCTAATTTCAAGAATACAATTACTTTACAGTTTATGCATTTCAGGAGCTTGATCTTCTAGAAGAAGGTGCAACAGTATACAAATTGATTGGACCAGTGCTATTTAAACAAGATCTTACCGAAGCAAAACAAAATGTTGAAAAACGTATAGATTATATCATAGCTGAAATGTAAGCTTTTTTTATTTTCACTATCATAGTTTACTGCAATAAATTTTAGATCTGATAAGCTATAAGTTATAACGGACGAGAAATGATTATTTTAATAACAAACTTGTTATTGGTAATTCTTTAGTTTAGTAGATTAAAATCAAAAGTTTAATTTGCATTTAATGTTTTTAGAGGAATGGATTAGTACTATTTTGAGATATCAAGTCTTATGTATTGTCTGAAAAACTATAAAATGTGTGTTTCATATCGTAGGAAAGTTCTTTTTGTGCACTCTCGCACAGTTCAGTTAAATATTTCACAGGTTTTGCATAGTTAGTGATGGATAAAGTACTTGGTAGAGTCCAAAATTGATTTTATTAATTTTTAGGCAACATATAAAACTTAATATTGATACTTGTTTATGATACCGAGCTGTTTTGTATTAACATATTACCAACTGAAATAAATTACAGAAGTCGACTAGAACAAGCGATAGCAGATGCTGCAACAAAGCAAGAAAATCAGAAGCAAACAGTGATGAGGTTACAAAATGCAGTAACTCAGCGGTTCCGGACTAAATGATTGCAAAGTATTTGAAGTGATTTTTGTTCAACGTGTTGTTATCGTTGGCTTTTTTAGATTATAAAACTTTGTCCTTAATCAAAATTCTGAATCGATACTAGTAATTGCTTTTCGAAAAGCAATGATTTTATGCTCAGGAATTAGTGGCTCAATATATATTCGAAGCGTAAATTATCTGTGATGCTTAATTGAGCCGTGAGAAGTTTGTATCTGGGTATTATTTTACGAATCAAAAGTTCACTTTGGAGTTATGGTACATGAAAGAGCTAGTTGCGTTTCGCGCTAACGCCATGGTACATTAGGACTAAAATTTTTTCATAAACATCTGTTAACTAAATTTTCCTATAATTTATGTACATTACCCTCTGAATGTTAAAACTACAGAAGTTAAATAGTGCTCTTTTGTTTTAATAAGATATCAAATCTTAAGAAATTATTCAAATAGTTTTTTAATTTTGTGTGGACTTTGAATTCATTGTTAGTCATGAGAAAAGATGTATAACGTTTTGAAAAACACACACACACACACACACACGAAAACTTGATAGATGAGACGATGTGACACCTTATATCAATTTGTGAATCCCTTTTACTGCAGTAAACTAATATTGCTTTTATTCTTTTTTCTTTTCTTTATTCATGAAATAATTATTTTTCTTCGCTTTATTTTTTTCTGTGAAGTGTCGATAATTCTCGAATTTATTTTTATTGTTTTAATCTCTTTGGGAAACTTGATTTTAATTGTGTAAGGATTGATAGAAGCGAATAATTCGGATGTCTTTTGTCTTCCAGAAGTCACCGTTTTTCCTAAAAATGTAAGAATGATTTATAGTATTGAAGGTATTTCCGACATGGCCTCGATTTCTGTTTGATATTTTTTTGTTAACCGCATACAATCAGACAATTTATAACTTTTTTTTTTAAAATTTAATTTAAAGGAGGATTTCCTCATATAACGCTTTAAAATTTATGTCTCTGCAAAACTTTGGAAAAATTGGTTTGTTACAAATACTAATTTCCCATATAAATCTTTTAGTGTCGCCATTATTGTCTCACTATTTTGAAGTCTTCTATTCTCCTTCCACTACCAAAGAAATCATTTCCCTCCTAAAACCTAACTAATATTCTTTTCTAGTTTTACGTAAATGTATTTTTACTGATCTCGGCAGATAAGTCAGATTTAGTTGGGCTGAATTTTAGCTATCGAAATGATGACCTTGAAATTAATAGTCTTGTTGTATATGTCCTCCTGTTCTAAGACGGTTGAAATATCGTAAAAATATAGACTTGTTACCCACTTCCAACCGCATCCTTTCGGATGTGTTGCAACTCTTGTATTGACTGCAGAAGGATTAGTACCTTCGGCTTCCCTTTGTTGGGATTTCACCGTCCTCACTGTTGGCATGATATATGCGCCGATCGATAACGCATCATGTTCCTTGGTTAAAATTATCTTTTTCGATCTTGCGGGTGCTTGATCCAGATCTGTTTGTTTAAGTAAGATAGTTGAAGCTCTTTCCCGCAGCACTTTACTCTTTCTTGTTCTGATTTCATACTCCATGCTGGAGTTACATTCTCGCACATCCGTCCCATTCCTAACACTGGCTTCGCCCTCAACCCTGAGAGTTTGAGTGGATGATTCGGAATACCTGTTTGGCTGTGTCTTTTCTATATGGACTGATACAGGCCTGGATTTCCTTCTCGGATCTGACACTACCTTTGTTCCACTTTTTTTTCTCTTGTGATTGAGTATTTCGCGTTTTGCAATATTTTGCTATTATTTTTTCTCCGTTTTCAGTCATCGAATGTCTGGAATCGTTTCCTTGTTCATTAATTGCCTCATCATCTTCATCTCCGTCTTGTTTGATCACTTTAGTACTTCCGATTTTGGTCCCTGTTGTAATTTCTCTTTTAGGAGGTCAGATATAAATTTGATACTCCTTATTCTTAGCGTTAACAGTAGACCTGGTATTCAACATTTTTCGAAGTATTGTAATAGGTTTTAATAAAACAATAAAGATCTTTCTTTTATTCAATGATTAAATCAAAATAGGGAAAAGACTAGTTTTAAAGTGAAGCAGTAAACTTAGCAGTAGTTGGGAGCTATTTTGGAATTTATATAATGTCTTACCTTGTCCAGAGTTTTTAATAACTATTTCAACATTTTCTCCAATGTTGTAAGCCTAAAACGGAAAGATTAGATGATTCTAGTTTTAAAATAGAGAAGATTCTGGAATATATTACGCATATTTCCACCGCTGGCAAGCATGCATCGCGGTAAGGTATTCCAGAATCTCGATGAGATATTCCCATTGGAATTAACGGGAAATAAATCTAGTGGTAATTTAGAAAACATACGACATTAAGGTTTTCATCGAATCGAACATGATCCTTTACACTACTTCCAATTGGTTTCGCGTTTGTAAGATCATGCTCCTAAATTTAAATTAAGTCAACACTTAATGTTACTGATTAAGGGGAATATTCAAAACATGCGACTTCTATTGATTAACTCAAGAATGTGTAATTTAGGACATTCAATAATGAGTGGTCCTTTGAACTGGAATGCTGAAGCATCGAATGGCTCCGGCAAGTATTTTCCTTCTTCTTCGGACGGTGGCTCCGCTCGCCTGCAGTTCTCGATCAGACTTTTCGCTAGTTCATCTTCCGTTGCTCCTATTCAATAATATTGTTAGCTACTAACAGACATATTCACCACTTGATCTTTTCTAACGATAACTACTGATCAGAAACTTTGTCATGTAAACGTGTCCTCTGTGTCTGTCGGAAATCAGCGGTACTACTAACAGACCATCATTCTGAATAATTTTAATCAGACATTTTTATTTTTACATTTTTTAGTTATATGAACACCAACCACTTTTTTGGCAACAGCAGTATATAACAACAATAATAAAAAGAGAGGTAAGAATAATCAATATAGGTACACCTAGAACTAAAACTAGGATGATTGCCAGCATCGTTCCTCCACTTCTAAAAAATTTATTACTGTTGAAATTCTTTTTATTCATATAATGCTTACACGGTCTTTTATAATCTAGCAGGAAATCTTCAGGAATTATTAGATTATGAAGAGGATGATGTTAACATTGCTTATGTACGTCACTTTGCTGATTATTTAATCTTATTGGATTTGTTACGAAATCACAGAATGATATTGAAAGTAGATTTCGGAAATTTCCCTAACATATATGAATTACTTTTTTCTCATCCTTGCAGTAATTTTCTGTCTCTGCTGGTATAATTCATTGTAAAAGTTATCTTTATTTGGAAATATTTGCTGGAAATTTCAAAGAAAGAAAACTGTTGAATAGGCTTACCCCGGTTGAAAAACTTAATGTTTTAACCTTGAATAAGGCATTGGCAATTTTGTTTGTAAGATACAATTTCGGGTTCTTAGACGGTAATGAGACACATTGTACGTCGCTTCACTGAAAAGACCATGTTTGAAATAAAATCCAACTTTAAAAAAAGTATGGGGAATTTACTGAGCTTATCATATTCGTTCATCACATTCTTTAGGAGTGTAGCTTTAGCAGAGTGGTATCAAATCTCTCTTGGTATTATTGATATAACGACATTTATTTTTTAGAACTTCCTAATTCATAGAGAGTGGAAAAGAAGCTAAAATATGTGAAGTACTGTGGTGTCAATAACGTACGATCCAGTCTGTTCACAAAACAACAAATTAAGTTTGTTATTGAGATAGATGAAGTGAATTTTTCGTGCGTTAATTTTGGATAGAAATTCAGATTTGCGAGTGTGTGGAACAGTTGAATGATAAATTGGTTTTCGTCGTTTATAATATATGTTATAATTGCCAGGATCCAGCTGTGAGACTCGAAAAAATTTTTTTGAATTTAGAATTTTAAATTTAGCGTGTATTCGTTGCAGAACATCATGAGATATACATTATATCTAATACAAGAATGTGAATGATTGGATGTTAGCAATGTGTAACTTTTCAAAACTTTACAAATGTTTCAGAGTTATTAACTAATTACTGATCACGTGATCTAAATAATACGTTAATTAAAGTGAGTTGTCCAATAAATTAGTAATGGCGAGTGAATCAGCAACACAGGTGTACTCGAAGAGTTAAGATGGTTAACTTCGCAATTACTATCTTACAATACAGTCATCAGCATGTAGTTTGATAATACATTTGACACGTATAATCATTTGATGGGAGCAATTCTGCAAGAGTAATTAGTACCTTCGGTTTATCGGTGATTCTCCTAAAACTAATTATAAGATGAATGTAAACAGAAAACATCTAATATTCAACTTTCTAACATTTCACGGTCTTCTATCGAGAAAAATAAATTAGGTAACGTCTCTTGCGTGTGGCCTGAAAAAACATAGCAATCTAAAACTGAATAAATGAAGGAGTAGGTTCAAGTTAAGGTTATGGACACAGATTGGTTGAGAGAAGAGGGCGATTACAATGTCTTCAAAAATCTTACTTTTATTTGTTGGAATTTATAGGTAATTCTCTAGCATTAACTCAAGTGTAAAAATGTCCCTACAACTGGCCAAGAGTTAGAATGTGTACGAAGAAAGTCAACAATAAACATTAATAGTAGCTGGATCTACTGGCTAAGCTACTTTTTCTATTCCATGATTACACCTCATTTTTCGGATGAGTTTTTCGAATCTGTTCAGATTCCACTAACTGTGTTGGCTTCATTTGGCAGTCAACGGGCATTTCGCTAAGTTGCTGTATTCATGTTCCGAGATAACCCAAGGTGGTTTGCCTGAAATCTAGATAGTGACAAGGGTAAGACAGGTGGTATTTAATCTTAAACAACTTAAAATTAATTAGTAAAGGCAGAGTAATCAATACAGCTTTTCATACAGCAAAGAAGTTGCACGTATGCAAAGGACCTACTTCTGTTGAAGATTTTATATGACAGCTGTTGTGAAAGCATTATAGAAACTTTGCATATTGAACTTTTTTTTCTGCAAACTAATAAACTAATGAATAATGCGTAAGTGACTTACATGAGACGATAAGTCGAGATTTTAACTGTGCTAGTTTCCTGGTGAAAAGTGCTTCGTCAATGGGTGTGTTGTTTTAACGCACCAGTGTGTTTTACATTTTTAAATTTATTTAAAGTTCTGTTTATTACTTTGTAGCGTATGTCAAGATTTTCTAAAGCTAATAGAAACCTCAATAGCTGTATGCTTGGCAATAGTAGTGGATACAAATAGAGTTATAAAGACGATGATAACATTAATATGCACCGCAAAAATAAAGCAGTTGCTTCTACCACCGTGCATTGCAGAAAATTGTAATAACAGTCGTTTAAGTACCTTATTGTTTATATGCGTTTCACTGTCTAGAATTTGCATGATTAAAAATTTGGCAGCATTGAAGGAATGAAATATTAAAACAAATTGAACTAAGGTTTAAGTGGGACGTAAGGAAGGTAGGAGGAGGTCGATGTGAATGGATAAAGTATGTGGTATTCTTGACTCAGATCTCCAATGAAAAGGTAATATTCTATATCTTCGAATAAGCTTCATCGATCTGAGAGATAAAACACGTTCCATATGGGCGATTTTCATGATATAACATTGGTCAAGTAGTAAGGGAGCAGGGATGCAGGATAAATATAACTGAACCTATCAACGTTATACTTTAATGACATAGGAACAGTGTTTCCGTGCTGATGAAAGTCAGAAATAATCAATCCCTTGATTATTTTCATCTTGATTTTTTGATTTTTTTTTATTCGGATGAGTTTAGTGCCAAATTCAAAATTACGAAAATTTCAGTGAATTTTAAAGGCAAAGCATGAGCAAACAAGGACATAAAACAAGAGCAAACTTACCAGCTGGTGGATTTTTGGCGATTGGACGTGATGTCACATCAACTTCTGATACCAGTCGCTCAAAACCTCAAGTTCATAAACGGGAATTGCCACAGGTTAATTTTATAGTAATTGTTGGCCGTAATTTCCATTTGCGATTTTAATTTCCGAATCTGTATTTGCAAGTTTTTTGTTCCTTTCATTCACTGTATATTCACAGAACTCATTTTGTTTAAATCCCAATTATTTTGGTTGTTTCTTCGAAAAAATATTAAGATATTAGATAAGAATTCAGCTAAGAGATTAACTTACAGAAAAATAATGACTTAATATGATGAAGTACGATTATCTCTCATTTGCCTAACATCACTTAGTTATTGTTCTATCCCTAGGGAAACTTTTTCATATAAGTCGTCATACTACCTTATTTTTTTCACACTGGATGTTGCAGGATGACACTTTACCATTGCACGTTACTGAGTAAAAAGGTTGGAGGAATTTGAAATCTCTATCTAACTTATTTCAGTATAATTGTTTGGTTACAGTTATCAAGTGGTACTTTGAAGAAGCCTCGTCTTGACTTTTCTGGGAAACTTCTTTCCAGTACTCCATCAACGAGTTCCGTCAAGCGTGCCGAAGTCGACGATTCAAGATGGCGTAGTTTCTGTGCGGAAGTAAGCGCTTTTCTATGCAATAGAAATATGGTATTATGCACAATTTTGCGTGATCTCGAATCCTGGAAAGGTATTTTGTGGTTCTAGTAATGACAGCAATAAGTTTTCGCATCTTTGGGAACATTTTGCTTTGCAGATCAGTAGGACTGTTGAAAGATTCTTTTTTGTAGCACAGTTATAGCAAATGGATGAAGTATTCAACAAACATATTGTCTGCAGTTTGATTTATGTCTTTTTGGATATACTTCAGATACAAGTAGAACCTAAACAGTTGTTGGCATCGCTGGAATCGGCGAAAGAGAAACAAAAGCCACAAAAAGCCGCACGACTGATATGTGCTGCAGTACGAGAAATCATTGATCACCGTAAAGAAACCGGTAGTTGGGTTGAGGAGCCAATTATGTGTTCAGCACTTATGCTCTTCGTAAAAATGAATACCTCATTTTTATTGGTAACTAATCTTTATCTGATATCATAGATTAAAGATAAGGGAAAAGATTGATGATTAGCATTACGAATATTTTTTCTTTGAGACTTATGACCCATTGGTTAACTGTGTGAATATGGACTGAATCAATTGGAAATAATTACTAGGAGAATTACATAGTTAGAGTTTTGTAATCTATCTGGTTACTCTTCCCACTTATTGTAAACGTAAGACTTACTGTTTATTTTTATATTTTTAGAACTATTCTTTGAGCAGGTTAATAACAGCACATTGTTGAATCAAACTGATGTAGTGTTTTTTTTTTTTTCTTGAAATTCTTGAAATTTCTCAGACATGTGTCCAACATGCAGTGTTATTTCTGTAGACTTCATGTCCCAGTATGTTGAATTGAATTGATGTTGAAGAACTTAACTTTATTGCAGCCGCACGAAGAATTGATTGAGGTACTTTGTTCTCTACTATCAACGAATTTCCCGACTTCTTCGCCTGGCTCAGCAATGGCTCCTTTGCGTATTTTTTTATTTCTTAATCTAATCTTTATTCGTTATTTTTCCGGTTGATTTCCTAACTGGTCGTTGGCTTTTGAAATTTTCACATGATATACAGAGTCTAAAAGTTGAAAAGCCAAAAAGAACTGAGAAACTGGTGCATGAAATGGGTCAGACTGCTGACATTCAGTAGTTCTTTTAAAAGGCAATGCTTCATTTGCTAGATTTGCAGCATACTGTTACAATTTCATTGAATTATACGTTTTAACAAGTTTCAATTTTAGTAATGATATTACTATGCGAATATTTTTGTAGTGTTATACAAACTTTTGATGGGGGCGACCGATTGGAACTGGCGGTTGGTTGAAAGTTTTATTGATGATAGTTTGCATGAAAGACAATGGAGTGATCGACCATCAGTAGATGGCTTGATTGTGAATATCATAACAGCTTTTGGTACTCGGATCCCTCACGAATCAATGTATACGGCGTGTGATTTGACTTATCCGGAACGTTATCGGACTGTGGTAATAA